CCTAGTCAGTGAGCAGCCCCATCTGCTTTGTGTGGTCCCCACAAGGACGTCCCCTGAATTCCACATGGGACAGTGTGGGCAGAGGGCCGACTTGCCACCTAGTCCGTGTCAAGCCCTGAACAATGCTTTCCTACAGGGTTCCTGCCTCTGGAGCCCCCAGCCATGGGAAGCCCAATGCCCTTAATTAATGGGAAGGCCCAAGTGGGCGATGGGAACAAGAGGCTGCTACTCCAGAGTCTCTTTACAGAGAGGGTTGCCGTGTTCCTCCTCATCTAGGTCATGGTGACATCTAAGAGGTGGACCAAAGTGGCACTTGATTAAGGGGAACTCCAAGGCCTACGTGGAAGTGTGTTAAGTAAATAACAGTTGAATGAAGTGATGTCACAGGGTCTACAACCAAGAAGACTTGGTGTAGAAAGAATGTCTTCGAGTCCTATACAGAATGTCCTCCTCTAGGAGCATGCTGGGTTATTGTCACAAGACCCCCACGAGTTTCAAGGGTCAGGGGTTATTCCTCACAAGAGGCAGAGAGGGATGTTAAGATGGAGGTGAGGATGATGACTTAGCAGTGGCGATCCACACTTGCCCTGTGCGTTCCCAGTTTCTGCCTCATTAACTGGGGCCTAAGGCCCCTTCTCGGAAAACGGCCGCATCCAAAGGCTTAAAAAAGAAAATGCGATGTATGGAAAACTGATTAGAGTTTGACACCGCTCTTGCAACAATTGAGGCAAAGGAAGGTGGGCTCTGGTGTTCGAGCCCCCCAGCTCTGCGGACTCGGGGCCAAATGCCTCCCCTCCCTCTGCCTGCATCCTCTTCTGAGAGACGGGGACAGTGGCCGCAGTCACCAGCAGAGCTGATGTCGGAGCTCCCCGAGGCGCGGAGGCAGAGCCCTCAGGACCCGTGAGTTGACCATTTTGGTGATGTGGACCCATACGGCAGAAAGAAGGACACTTCACCAGGCCTCTGTGAGCGAGCAAAGTCAGGAAACCTTGGGAATAAGATTTGTCATCTTGTGGGGGCTGCTCTTTATGTGAGAGCTGCCTCCGTGATTATCTGCGGCCCAGAGCTTCCTCTCCCTCAGCCACAGTGAGCAGGGGCCTGGTGCTGTGGGCCAGCACAGCTTTTGTCCATTTGCTGACGGTTCACTGCCTGGTGGGTTCAGTTTGGAGTCCACAGAGGTGGATTCTAGAATCTCACATCCTAGACCGGCCCAGTGCTCGGCCCATGCTTTTTGGAGAAAGCGGAAGAGAAAGGCTACTTCTCCCAAGTAGAAACACCAGAAAGATCCTTTTTTCATAAGCCCTGCAGAGTGTACACCATCATGGATAACTTCCAGGGCCCCACAGAAACCTTCTGGAATTTTTAGGTGGTTTGAAGAAGAGGAGGTCCCTAGTAAAGGAGAAAGCCACCTTTTTCTTTCCACTCGACTCTGAACAAGTGCTTTCTTGAGGGAGCAAGAAGAATCAGGCTAGCTGGGCGGGACTTGAGGTCCAGAGCCAGTGACACTAGAAAGTGTTCCCAGAGGTCAGGGTTTTGTGTTTTGTCCACAGATGTGTCCTCAGCTCTACGACAGAGCCCAGCTCAGAGAGGGTGCTCAACCCCTATATGTTGAATGAATGAATGAATGTAAATTAATGCCCTAACGCAGGTGCCTTCTCTCCTCTCAGTAAATCTCATGTGTCCTTCACAGTCTGTCCTTCCTGCACGTGTCCCATCGCTCGCCACGTGCTCTGGCCTCCAGGCCACACCCCAGCCCTGCGGGGCTGCCCCCTTTTCCTAACGCCTGCCTTTGCTCTAGGCTCCTGTCCTCGCTGACACCTACTTTCTCCAGGGCCCAACTTGAATGGCACCACCTCTGTGACTTCTCATGGCACTGTCCCTGCCCAACTTTATTCCACAACTATGTGGTATTAAATTGTGACTCCCATCTCCGTCTTTCCCAGCAGAGCGTGGGCTGGAGAGACCGGGTGCCATCTTGGTCGCCCACATCAGCAGAGGTGACTGCGTGGTAACCAGTGACCCAAGGGCGAGTGTGGAACAGGAAACAGGTAAGAGGGGCAGCTACACCAGCATCGGTTCCGATCAACACATGAGGTCAGCCCGAGCCACACAATCTGAAGTCTTCTCACAGAGCCTAAGTGCTCAAAACTTTTGGTCAGTGAATTTTCCATGAAATTAAAAAGTCTGATTAACACATTTCTGGAAGTAGAAAGAAACCCCAAAAGGGCACAAAATAACAGGAAGACCCAAATTTCTTTAATAATGAAATAATTTATTTGTGAACGGTGGAACGATACAGAAGTTTACATATACACAGCAAAGATTCTCTAAAACATGTAGTAGTTCTAAAAATGCATGTGCTAACTGTAGTAAAAAGCACCATTCTCTAGATCTTGACACAGGATTTACATTGGCGTCATATTTACATAAAGAAATAAACATCTGGAAACAGAATTCCATACTCTCTCATCTGCTGCTCCCCTCTGTAGGCTGTGTTTACCATTAGGAAGATGGCCCCCAACACTGATGGTTAACAGCAATATTCCCAGAGCACCAATTCTAGGGACGGGGGGTAAAGGCAAGTTTGGTTCTCAGGTAAAAGCTAAACTGAAGAATGCCCCATTAAGTCACCACCCCCCATAGAGTAAGAAATCAAACTTAAAAATGTGGATAAATCTTGGAATTGGGTGCCTTACTAATTCTCATTTTATGATTTTGAGAGAAGACCAAGATACTCAATTTCTTCAGCCATTTAATAGCTGACTCGGGCAGTGCCAGGCAGTGTCGTCTTCTTTCAGAAGAATGTAGTATAAGAAAATCATCCATGTAATAAATATTAATGAAGAAATCATGATAAGTCACATATAGTACACACACCCCTCCCCACCCCCAGATACCTTTGCAAACAAACTATCCCACAGTCACAGAGATCTGAATGAGAAAAGCCACCCCCCCTCTAAAAGGGTCTTTGGGTCATCTTCTCCCAGAAAGGATTTTAAAACTCAGTAGCCAGCTACCTAAGCATACTGCATCCAAGAGTTAGACATACACACACAAAAAACAGATTGACCTGCAGGAAATCACCTTGCAGCCATTGACTTCCTGGGGTTCAACACTCAGGGCAGGTAAAGGAGGAAGCTTGAGGAGCAAGTGGAGGAGGAAGAGAAGACAGATTCAGGAATACGTCATAAAGCATAATGAAAGTGGTATTCTTGCCAATATGGCATGGTATAAAAGCCTAAATAATGTGTATATGCTGTCTAAAAATAGTTTTTTTCTTTAAAGGATGGGGCAGAGGCAAGAAGAAAAAAAGCCCATAATACCCATAGTGAGCCCCAAGACTCCACTTGAGCATCACCATCCTAGGTTGACAATTTTTCCCCCTGCACCCCAGCATTTGCTCTTGGCCACTTAAGGGACGGATCAGAGAGGCCCATAGGAAACCCAGGAAAGGACTCTGTTTCTTTTTTTCTCTTTTTTTTTTTTTTTTTTTTTTTTAGAGGCGAAAAGAAAATGCTTCCTTTAAAAACTAAAACCACTCAAGTGGCCAACTGCAGGGTCAGGGGCCTATTGCAGTGCTCAATTTTGAATCGTCCTGGGCATTATTGGAGTCTTGGGTTTATTGGGAGGAGAATTTAGGTCCTGCTCAAAAAAGTGATTCAAAGAGCATCACAAACTAACATTAGGTCTGTGACTACAGAAAGGAGTCAGCAGTCACTATCAGCACCTTGGAGAATTCAAGATCTTTGCTTAGCAGAAGAAACCCAAACAAAATACCCTGGGTGCTTCACCTGCCATTCTAAGCCAACAGGCGGGGAAAGCTGTGTTCTGGGATGTTAACAGCACGCACCGGTATTTTGTCACTGCATGAAATTGGACTACATACTCTTACCTTCCCATCTGCATTGCGATGGTATCAGTAAGAGTATAGATTTCTTTTCAGTTTTTAAAAATCAATTTTACATAAAAATATGCATGTGCCTATATTTACACACATCTATATTTACGTACAATTGTCAAAGTTTTAAAGGCTGGGGTTTATATCTTTGCCCACTCCCCTCCCCCCAACAACCCTAATAGAAAGGTTTTTCATTTTGCTTAAAAAAACCAAAACAACCAAAAAGACTTTATAGCTCTTAACAGTCACGCTGGTGGATCAGTGAATGAGAGGGTAGGTTGGCAAATGAGGGCTGCCGATCACCCGCGTAGGGAAGAGGATTAGCTGCCTTGGGCTGAGTTTGCTGGTCCTGAATTTACAGTTTTGGTTAGAGGCCTATCTGGCACGCCGATTCGGTCTACCTCGAGCTTTGAAAAGTAATGTCTAACCCTGGTGTCAGTTTATCACAAGTGCATGAAAAATAGATCAAATTCCACATTTCTATATGCAATCAAATTGAAAAGGACCAGACAAACAGTGCAAAGGTCAAATAATTACTGTTTTATATTGGGACAGTACATTTCAACCAAAAGACAAAAATGCAGTTTAACTTAAACACAGAAAATAATGGCATCTCTCAGATGCCTTATTTTGAAATCAAACAAATACACAAATTCTGTTCCCCTCCCTCCCCCGATGCAAGCCCACAAGCTTTGCCCAAAGTCTTGAGTTTTCGATGCCTTAAGGCATCTGGCATCTTGGACTTGTGAGGCGCTTGAATGTAGCAATTAAAATGCTTGAGAGGTCTCGTGAATGGCATTCGAAAGGGACCTCAAAGTGCAGATACATCTTTTCAAACATGTTACAGGCTGAGCTGGCTCTTTCAACACTATCACTCTGCTTAAATTCAGGAAGCAGGCTTTAAAAATGCAAAAGGCATACAAGTTGTATTTCAGTGCAAATCTTCAGCTGGTCATTGGAAAAGATTCCAATTAAAAAAAAAATCCTTTGTGTCACCTGCCCCTCCCCCCACCCAAAGCTGAAATGAAGGAAAAAAAAAAAACCAGAAAACAAAACCAGAAGAATGACAGATGAGTTTGGAAGCATTTAGGAATCGACTACTTCCGATTAAAATTTTTTTAATAGAGAATCATTAAAATGAAAAAACAAAAGTAATCTTTGTTTGGCCCGCTCTTCACGTGCAGAATGAGCTTCCTTGTGGAGCACGTTTGAACTCTGAGTTGTGTGGAAGGCGGAGGCGCTGGAGGCATGGTGAGGCTGGGAGGGGGCCAGAGACCGCAGGCGGCGGGGAGCGCTGGGCGGCTGCCCGCCCCCCCCACCCCTCCGCCGGCTGGTGCAGCCTTGGAGCCCTTAGGTTGCAGTGCGTCTGTGGATTTTAGGAATGTTCTCGTCACTTTGTGACACACAATCTGTTTCAGCGTCACAGGGTTTACAAATGGTTCAAATTCAATGAAAAAGACTCGTCAGAGGTGGAAAACCTCGACGTCAAAAATATGAATGCAAAAATATTAAGGGGAACGAACCAATTTTGTAGATACCTACATACAAAGTTTCTAGAACATCTATAAAAGCACAAAGTCTTAAGAATTTGTTTTCCATTACATTAGTTTATATAAAATGAATAAATAGTATTTATAGATTTAATGTGTCTTATGTACATATACATGTGCTCTGTTTTAGCTTAAATAAAAATGCTACAAAGTGGGAGACCACTTAAGGGGGAAATCATAACCAAAAAGAAAGATCAGCCTTTTAAACTAGCAACCCAAAAGCCTCCATTAAGAAGATTCTGGGCGTATCCAAAAATAAGGAGAGGAATTCTAATAACACTGTACCCTCCCCTCCTGTTCACCTGCAACAGAGTAGAAATGTGGACTTTTCCTTTCACTGATGATGGACACTAGCTCAGCTAGTGCCAAAGCTCAGTTATTGCTGAAAGTTAGATAGGAAAATAGATTAGAGTTGGACCAAGTGTCACTTATTTGGGGGTGAAAAAAAGGCATAATCGCTTTGTGTTAAGTGGGAAATGGAGATCTCATTTATCTCTGAGGTAGGAAAAAAAAATGTTCCAGAGACAAGTAGCATAACAAACTTGGAGGGGAAAACGGGTCTTGGGACAGCAGTGGACGGCGCGGCCCAGAGCACATCGCAGAGATTGTACCGTCTGGTGGGTGGGAGCGAGCGCCACTGGAGCTCTGATAAAGCTGTGCAGCCCCAGAGACCTGCCATCAAGATGTCCATTCTAAAGTGAGAAGTACTGCTCCCATCCACACGCGGGTCGCGGGTCGGGGAAGCAGCGCAGGGTGTGTGTGAGGGGGTGTTTTCTGGAGGTATTCCTGACTCCTCACGGGGGGTGAGGTCCACAGTTAAGTGCTCTTAAACGCCGCTTTCAAAGCTTGCTTTGGAGTTCTGAGATCAGGATCTCGACTTTAAAAGTTTGTTTCCTTCAGGTTCCTAAGCACAAGACACATTCGGACATTTCTGCTAGGTGAGTAACATAGCCAGAAAACTCTAAGAAAGGTTTGCTAGACTACACGGGGATGGTAAGGAAGAGGGGGAAACTGCTGAGATGTGAAAGTTGCTTATTCGGTCTAAGAATTCTTGGGTGCTTCAAATTGATTGGAATGTACAGTCTCTCGGATGAATTTTTAGGGACAGAGAGAGAAGCTAGTGGATGCAATCAGAAACCCACAATCCTAAGCACTTCCGCGAGAACGTTTACAAAGCTGAGTTTGGTAGAGGTGGTACACGGAAGCTTACGTGCAGGGGGGCTGTGGGCGGGTCCAATACACTACCTAAGCCCGTCCGCCGAGAGAACCATCGGGAGGCAGCCGAGGAGACCACGCTGTCTTAGAGGCCCAGACACGTCTTGTGATTGTCCTGGAGCTTTATCCTCTTCATGCTGGAGCTGGAGTAGCCCTCGTCACTGCCGAGGCTCTGCATGCTTCCCCGCTCGTCGGAATCGCTCACGCTGCTGCTGCTCCAGTCCAGGTCCCCCGTGAGATAGTCTGTGCTTTCAACGTCCACGTCGATTTCTTCTGTGGGGAGGACAAGAGACACTGGTGAAGCCATGCTTCTGAAAGCTCAGGCCGGAAATCCGAGCCAGCCCCGCCAGGCCCTTCTCTGGACCTGGTGCCTAAGTGCAAAAAGGAAAGAGGGACTTGTTACCGGATGTCACGTTACTCAACGAGTCTAAGTCACCCGTGGGCTCCGAGTTCCTCCCCTGCGCTGCCTGGGCCGGGTCGGGGGACACGCAGGGTGGGGGGCTCACCCCTGTCGGAGTCTGAGCGCTCAGAGGAGACAGTGGAGCCGATGCTGTCCATCCGTATCCTCTCGATGCCCAGCTTCTCCAGCTGCCGCTTCAGGTGTCGCTGTTCTCGCTGAAGCTGGTCTATTTGGTGAATGGCTTTTCTGTCACAATCTTCAAGTTTCTGCAAGCCAAAGGGGTAGCTGTTGGAGCTCATGGGCAGATTTCAAAATTGGCAATGACTCTGCATCTTCCCCTCTCGCACTGAGCTGTGTGTCAGCCTTTCCCCAAAGCCATTTGGGGTCACTTATCTAGCTTCTCACAGGGCAGGAAACTGGCCAGTGACTCCTGCCTTCGTCTAACCTCTTCCGTATTGACTCAGCCGCGGGTACCTGCACTGTCGGGGCCCTGGGGATGGGCACGGCCGGCAGCCCCCCCCCTTGGCTGGGGGGGTGCCCTGACCGCCTCTCTGAGCTGGGGCGCTGCGTGCAGCGGCAGCCGTGAGGCGCTGCCATTTACAAGTACGGGTATTCAGCTACACATTCCGATTAGAGAAACACTTTGAGTCGTGCCAAATCCCAATTAACTTCTGTTTGTTTCCTGCTACCAAACGGTCCCTTTTGAAGTCCTGATTCCAAACGGTCCAACATAAGAGCTTAAACACGTTTCTGTAGACCACTTGTTTTTACAAGTCTGTTTCACTGTAGTTATTTTGCTCTGAATAGAGGTTCTTCCCCCCCCGCCCCCCAGAATTGTCATGTATACAGGCCTCTAACCACAACTAAAGTGACATTTGTCCAATAGTGACTAAAGGATTACAAAAACATGCTAAACAGTGAGTTTGGCTGTGGCTCTCAGGAGTTTGAATACCCCTCCCCTCCCCTCCCCTCTTCAAGCTACTACCAAGCAAGGACTCTGTTTCAGACCCTCTGGCAGGTGAGCATAAAGACCTGGTCCCCTCCCTCTAACAACAGAGACCACCACCAAAGTGTCATACAAATCATGGTCAGATGTCAGCTGTGACCAGCGCTGAGAGAGTACGCTCTCCAACGATAGGTCCATCTGGGGCAGGAAGCCTGTAAGCAGGGCAGGAGAGGTTTCCCTGAGCTCGTGATACCTATGTTAAGGTCTGAAGGATGACAAGAAGTGAACTGGGTGAAGAAGGGAGGGGAAAGCCTAGCAAGCAGAGGGAACAGCACATACAAAGGCCCTGTGTAGGACAGCACAAGTTCAAAGGGCTGAAAAGGCCTATGGCACAAGATGCTGTACAGGCAGGTAAGGACCAGGTCGGACAGCCTGGGGCGGGCCTGCTGCAGAGTATGTCCTGAGCCACTGAAGAATCTGAAAAAGGGGGACATGGTGATTTGATCTTTCGAAGGACTCTTCTTGGGAAACATGGAGCTTAGCTCAGCAGTGGCCAGAGGGATACAGGGAAGCTTCTCTGGAGTTTACCACAGTAGATGATGGCAGGGTGAAATGGAAGTAAACGAGCCCATGAAATGTTTAGGTCTTAGAGGTGACTTAGACACCGTGGCTACACAGCAAGAGCTAGCAAGGGTGACCCTGGCTTAATCAAATGGACAACTGGATGGGCCATTTAATTTCTGCTACATAGGAGTGAGAAACAGTTGGGGTCCTGGACATGTTGGGTTTGGGATGCCTGGGATTCATCTAAGAGGCAAGGTGGAGGAGTTCAGGGGAAAGGACTGTCCTAGAGATACACGTTTGTTATCCTGCATCAACAGGCAAACCTTTACTGAAGGTTAAGCTGAAAGGAATCCCAAGGATATACCTACCTTTATGTGCAATTTGGCTTTTGTCAATAAACTCAACGTAGTGTGTCGGTTCGATTCAGGTCCAAGCGGCACTAGCCCCTTCAACTTCTCCAGGCACAAGCGAAGATGGGCCCGCCTATGAAAACAAGGTCACGGTAGCACTAAGATTGAGCGTCCAACTTTGGTTCAGGTCATGATCGCGTGGCTTGTGAGTTCAAGCCCCGCATCAGGCTCTGTGCTAACAGCTCAGAGCCTGGAACCGGCTTCAGATTCTGTGTCCCCCTTTCCTGTCTGCCTGCCTCCCTCTCCCCCTCCTCTCTCTCTCTCTCTCTCGCAAAATAAACAAAAAAAAAAAATTTTTTTTTAAGAGTATGAGGTTGCCCAGACCCAGTAATGGCAAATGCCACCAAAAATCTCTGGCCGAACATGTTTGGAAATTGGATAACTCTGGTGAAAGCCACAAAGAAGCAAAAACTCGGGTTTTGTAAAATGTCTCTATAGTACAAGTGTTAGGGCAGGGACTCCTGTCTACTCTTCTGAGGCACATTTACCAGGTTAGTTCCAGTTTTCTGGGTTATGATGTGACCTGACAGAACATGCCAAGGTGAGAATCCTTTCAACCCATATTTCCTCTTTTCCCACTCAGGATCACTAGAACTCTAGCACTGCTATATGGAGTATTTATACATGTGAATGACACATATGGTTATTCATCACAGCTTGCTTTATGCAAAGAACAAAACAACCCAACTCGCCATCAATAGGGAGCTGGTTAAATTATGGTAGGTCTAGACAGTGGGATATGATGTAGCTATGAAAAGCAGCAGAAGGTTTTCTATTTACTAGGAGGAAAGAACTCTCAGATATATTGGGAAAAGAACGATATCAAACCATGCATCCAATATGCCATCTGTATATTGGTAAAATGGAAGAAAAATATATTTTTGTTCTCTTATGTGAACATAAAGTCTGGAGTGATCAATAAGAAACTTAGTGGCAGGGACAGAGAAGTCAGGGAATAGGTAGGGACAAGGGAGTGGATTTTTCCTGAATATATTTTCTGGTTTTTCAACTATGTAAACTGCTATTCAAAAAGTTATTTTATTAATTTTTTTTTTTAGATAAGGAAAATGCACATCACTGGCATTGCTACACTAACAGGCACACAGAACGGCTAGAGACAACCACACACAGGTCTTGGAGTGGGCGAAATGGTGCAGCGGGACAGAGGGGAGAAAGCAAGGCCACATGAAGCAGGAACCGCAGTAAGCCACCAGAGAGAACCTTTACTGCAAGCTGGCCAGGAGCACAAGAGTCCCTCCAGTTTTAGAAATTAACACTTCATTGAAACCCTTCTTTGCGCTTTTAGAACCTAGCAGATCCCAAGAATGGGAGAAACGGCCAAAATTCAGAGCTTTTGCTTCAGCCTACTGGGTCCTTAAAGCCTTCACAGGCCATTCCAACCCACAGTTGATTCCTCCGCTTTCTGAGCACTTGTTTATACTACTCATCAGGAAGTTCACTGTTCTGCCTGAATTGTTTGGTATTTGGTACTTAACCATTCATTAGAAACTCCTTAGAAAGTTGGACTTCCACTTAATCATTGCTGAGTTACCACAGGGCCTCCCCCTCCCACCTGCTTAATAAATGTTTGCTGAATGGCTCATGTCACCTATTCAACTAGGCTGTAAGCTCCTAGAGGACAGGGTCTGTCTCTACACCTGCACCACCAACAGTGCTTAGGCTCCTGGGGTTTTAAATACATGCCCACTGTCCATACACGACCACTTGGACCAGGGCTCTTGGGAGCCTGCGAGGCTACCCTCCAGTGGAACTGGGAGACAATCTTAAAGCTTAATTTGCCCTCCCCCTCCCCCGCCTTAACATTTTTGAACCTATTAGTGAAAGTTGGGAATGCAGACTAAAAGAAGAAAACTGCTTCAGAAAGCTCTAAGAGCTCAATACGCATGAAAATGACCAAGGAAGGCAATTCTCACCCTTCTCATCAAGACTTCAGGATGTTCCCCCCAGGTAGATCTAACGAGTGATGCATCAGACATCCTTTTCTGCCCCCAGCCTCATCTGCTTCCAAGCCTCCTTCCTTGTCTAGCTCTCGAAGGAGCTGTCCTAGACGCTCCAAGGGCCCGCTCAGCCTAAACAAACTGGAGTACAGCCTTCACTCCTGAGCTAGAAGATTTAATGGGACAAAAAAATGCCTGACTATTTTAGAAGACTTCCACTTGCCCTAAAAACCTGTCCATGTGGAATGGCCACAAGCAAAGACTCACACGAGAGGTTTGCTCCTCCCTCTACTGCATGAGGGGAAAAAAGCAGAACCTGTGTGCAAAATGTCCGTGTTCACCTTGAGTGATATCTTCCTCAAAAAGAGCCATGAAAACAGATATTAGAAACACCATGAGAAAGTAGAACTAGTCACTTACACAATTACCCAACTTATTTCTCCCAAAGTTTATAGACTAATTGTCAAGTTAGGAAAAAAGTTTAAAAATTAAAATTAGATTTAGACATTTTTCAGCTTGCTTGTTATCTGCAAAGACTTCATGATTCAGAACAGGGTCCTATTAGTCATTTTATGATGTGGGTTTATCTACAAATATGAGTATGTAAATTTTTTAGGAAGTTTGTCTACTGATAAAAATAAAATAATAAAGTCATCTTTCCATGCATCGTCATTTCTAGTTACACAAGGAGTCTGGCCCAGGAAGTGTAATTTTCACTACCCAAATGTGGGTTTTCCAAAGAACGCTTCCAGTTGTGAAACTAGAAATAAGCCATCTGATAATTCAAGCTAAGGGTAATACATGTTCATTCAGTGTTCTCTGGCCTGGTTCTATGAAAATAAGACCAGAGCCTTTTCTGGATTTTTGTCCCGATCCAGAGCCAACTTCTGTCTTTGGCAGTGCCTGCCTTGGCCTCCTCCGGCGCCGCCTCGCTGCTCCAGCCTGATGGCTGCCCTGCCCACCTGCCACCTGCCTGCAGACATCCACAGGCTGGAACCTAGGCCAATGCAGGGAAGGGGTGAGGTCTACGGGGGCGGTCTGAATTCTATCACATAGTCGTGAAAATCAATTCCTGAACCAGATAAGCAAGCAAATAGCCCCTCTGCGGCTCCTTGACCCTGAGACACGCGCGCGCCCTGGGATCTGGAATCCCTCAGCCAAGTCTAACAGTACCCATGAAGCACGAGATCCAAAGCAAGTAACACAAACACCCGTCTCAGCTCTCCTCCCAATCCTGACTGTTCCCCTGCCCGGGACTCTGGTCCTCCAGGAGGGGCTTAATGTCCTGCTCTGGACCTGGTCTAACTCCCCTTTGGGGAACCAGTAGAGGTTCTGCCACATGGACTTAACAGGAAGCCACTCGATACTCCTGTCTGATCCCTACTTAGACCTTCTCTCATCCCATCTTCTTCAGCCAGTCCTCCTCCTGTTGCCAAGAGCTGCCTACCAGCCTCCCACCCCAGCACAAGAGGGCTGTGCCAGGTCCTGGCTCCCTCCTGCTCCCAGCTGCCTCTTCTGTTTGCGTTGATCCAACTGCTTTGTACCTAGGTCACGAACTTTGACAAACTTCATGTGCTGACTCTTCAGAAATATCGCTTTAATTACTCTGAATGGACTGATATACCTTTGGTCTATGGTAGCATAAAGAGGCCAATCTTTGATCTGAGCTATAATCACTAAAGCTCAGAATCAAGTGTGCCCTATAACTAGGAATAACTAAGTTAGATCAAATTATAGCTTTTCTTCAGTAAGGTTTTGAAAAGGATCTCAATTTCCCTTTTTGTTTTTAGTTATTTTAGTATTCTGAATAGGTCAGTCACTACACAACCGAGTGTTAGTGTCATATGTAAGAGTAAGGGTTTAGGATCCCGGCTTTTTCACTCACTCCCTGTGTGACGGTCAGCAGATAACAACTTTCCTCAGCAGCAGATAGAGGATGGCCACACCTGAGAGGGCCAGTGTATTAATGGAGACAAGGTATGGAAGCCCCTGGCCAGGGTCTGACAGGAGTGCTCTCTAGCTGGTAGCAGTTATTCTTTCAATCCTAGCTTCCTCTGTAGACTGATAATTACCAGGAACAAACAGATACTTATAGCACTATAATTCCTTTTAAAATCTATAGTTAACTCAAAGTGTCTCACTAGGTAGATAGAGGCTATCTGGTAAAATCCAATTCTTCCTTAAAGAAAAGCTATCTTTTGTCATTAAAGAAATTTAATGGAAAATGTTAACCTATTTTCTATGGAAATACAGAGCTTGCTTATGCTAAAGGTACTATTTTTTACATTTAAAAAATCAGCAAATGGGGCGCCTGGGTGGCGCAGTCGGTTAAACGTCCGACTTCAACCAGGTCACGATCTCACGGTCCGTGAGTTCGAGCCCCGCGTCGGGCTCTGGGCTGATGGCTCAGAGCCTGGAGCCTGTTTCCGATTCTGTGTCTCCCTCTCTCTCTGCCCCTCGCCCGTTCATGCTCTGTCTCTCTCTGTCCCAAAAATAAAATAAAAAAACGTTGAAAAAAAAAAAAACTTTAAAAAAAAAAAAATCAACAAGGACAGAGAAGGAAACCATCAACAAATCTTAAAGGCAACCTACAGAAAATGGAAGATATTTACAAATACCATATCTGATAAAGGCTTTAGTATCATATAAAGAACTGATACAACATGCCAAAAATAGATAATCCAATTAAAAGTGGGCAGAAGACATGGACATTTCTCCAAAGAAGACATACAGATGGCTGACAGACATATGAAAAGATGCTCAACATCACTCATCATCAGGGAAATGCAAATCAAAACCACAAGGAGAGGTCACCTCACACCTGTCAGAATAGCTAAAATAAACAGAAACAAGTGTTGACAAGGGTGTGGAGAAAAAGAAACCCTATTACACTGTTGGTGGAATGCAATCTGGTGCAGCCACTGTGGAAAACAGTATGGAGCTTCCTCAAAAAGTTAAAAATAGAACTGCCCTATGGTCCAGTAGTCGCACTACTGGATATTTACCCCCAAAATAAACACAAATTCAAAGGGATGGACACATCCCTAGGTTTACAGCAGCATTATTTACAATAGCCAAATGATAGAAGCAGCCCAAGTGGCCATCAACAGATGAA